AACAGAAGAAAACGGGAATATACAAGAACAGTGTCTGCTGAATTCAGCCACATCAGCCCTGAGAAGAGTAACTATCAATTTATTTAAAAGTAAACATATTCAGATGTGATCCTTTGTTCTATTTCTGCACTTCTGCTTACATTTGTGTAAGTTAATTGATACTGTATCTTCTGATGCACTCATTTCAATTTTCTATGTGATTCTTTTGCACTGATGCCAATCTTTTTCTCTCTCATGTCTTTGCAGGGGAAAAAAATCAGAAGTGTTCCATATAGCCTTGGGACATCTGCTTGGAGTGTGCGTTGTCCTCCCCCTCACCAATGGTTGCATTCAGATTTAGTTATGAACATTCTGCTGTTATAAAGATGTAGATGTAAACCTTGGGTATGCGTGAATCTTCCTTTTCTTCTCCAGTGCATTAAAGGAGAAATGAAGCTTCTGACACTGTGAGTGGGTTCTCTGTTGTCTTTGGGCATTTCTCTTTCAGGAGACACAAACGAAGAGTCAGAATTACCAAATAAAGAATCTTTATTAACGGATGTGTTTAAATCTTCTTGGTTACGAACAACCGAACTTTGAACAGATAACTGGGGAGGGGAACTCTCCCAAAACCACAATAGAGATTTCTCTTCATTTAGATCTTTCAATAATAGGTTTTTGCTTTTTCCTCTTCCTCCATCGGTTGTCTCAGGAAGTTGTTGCGCACACAAAGTCCCGCAGCATGGGTGGCAGGCCCAATCTCCCTCTCTCAAGACTTTTTTCTCTATCCCTGGCGGGATGTGGTGCACCAGACGTGCCGGACCTTGATTCTTTGGGTACATTAATACAGTCCATTCTTCGGGACTTAAACCTGGAATAATGGGTCTTATTTTGGTGTTAGCACAGCTTTCGTCTTCCTCGATTATCGGGTTCGATGCAGGTCTTTTGATAGGAACTGAAAAGATCTGTGCATCCCTCTCTGTTTCACCGGATGCACTCTCTCTAAAGACGGACACCTCCCCCGTTTCTCTAGAAATGGCTCCCTTTGTAGTCAAAAATATGTGTATTTTCTCCCTTTCACGGTACCACCGATAATTTCTCTCTCTCACAGTACACCGATCTCCTGTCTCCTGTCTCGAGTCTTTCTAACGGTCTCAACTGCTTCTTTTGCGCGCGTTCCTTCCTCTCGAGCTCTTTCTACTTTCACCACGTGACCTTTATCTCTTCTGCTTGTCTTTCTGCCTCGGGTTTCATTGATATCTCTGATTCTATCTCAATTACGTGAGGGGACGGCTCACTCTCTGCTGGTTCTCTATCCTCCTCCTCAGACACTGATTAAATGGAATATTTGACTTCCCATCTGAATGAAGCAAATTGTGCTTTATATTTATCTTTGCAAACCATCATTTAGAATCCTGGTTTACAGCTAAACTGTAGTTTGAGCAAATCATATTTTCCTGCATTTGAGCATAACAGTGAACTGGCAGGGTTATTTTTTTAATGCTCTCTGGAATATAGAAAAATACTACTTTGTCAAGTATGTCCAATGCATAGACTGGGCTGTACCACAATAAAGAAGTAGCTAGTTTGAATTCTGATCTGGCAAAGATACTTCTAATCATTTATTCTCAACCCCTGAAGAAATCAGAGCACTTGCTCATGGTCATAATGGTAAACTAGTTATTATGTCTGAACTGAATTATGTCTCTTCTGCTTTAAGATCCGTCTTTCTTATATGTAAAATGTAGCCGTTGGAGACATTTAGAAAAGATGTAAACTTGATTTTTATAAAAAAAATACTGGTAGTGTATACCAATGTATATTGCTATAGGGGTTTTCCTGAACATTGTGTTCCCCGCTACTTCAATGTAAAATTGGCTTCCAGATTTCCAGGGTTACTCCTTCTCCCAGTCTTTATTGTATTGATACATTGCAGATTGAATGTCAACACCACCACTGGTCCAGCAATGGAAGTCACTCCCCTCATGGGGATATTATGTAGAAATTCTTCACCCTCTTTGAAATAACACCCACAACCTACGGTTGCATTATGCTTCCCCAGCCCCCCTCTTCCTCCACTTGCCACACATCCCTGTTCTTTTCTATTGTCTTTAGAATAGCAGATGTAATGTTCTAACTTTGATGTCCGTTATTACAATTGCAACTAAACCTATTCCATGCTTGTTCCCTTCTTTCCTTTTCTCTGTCAACCCAGATATACTTTCTATTACTTTCTTGTCCAGCATGGATCTTTTCAATTTCTTCCTGAGTTGCAGCTATGCAGAGCTTCTTCCCACTGGGCTTGACCTGCTGCTTTCACTGCTCCAAATACTTAATGGTGTCATGTGTGCATGCCAAAGTAACATTGGGGCTGGGGTGCTGCTGCCCCAAGGATGACTGTAAATTCAAGCCCACACCCACTGTTGAAGAGTGGAGCAATCCCCAAAACTGGATGGATAATCATGGCTTTGTTGCAGTGTGGAAAGAAAATATTTTCCAGTGGAAGATTAAGACATCTAAAATTGACCAAGCTGTGCATCATGTAGATTCATTAACTCCAGTTGTTATAATTGTCACCCATGAAACAGCTGGAAGCTGAAAGATTTATGAAACTAATCAAAGCTAAACTGAACAAAAGGCAAAAGTGAGAATTAATGGCGAGTTGTCAAAAGAAATTCAGATACAGAAAGGTACTAGACAGGGATGTCCACTGTCTCCACTCTTATTTATCTGGACTCTAGAAATACTAAATGAACAAATTAGAGATAAAAAGGAATTGAAAGGATTGAAAGTAAAAGGCCAAGTCTATAAACTTCAGGCTTTTCCGGACGACTTAGTCATTATACTGGACGATCCACTGCATTCAATAGAAGACCTGATGACAACGTTAAAAAACTTTGGTGACATGGCAGTAATGAGAAATCAAAAGAAGACCAAAATACTTACTAAAAATATAAGAGAACAAGAACGGCAGAAGCTAATAGAGAAGACGAACTTCCAAGAGGAAAAGAAAATTCGATATCTAGGGATACAAATTACAAAGAAGACGAGCACATTATTTAAAGATAACTATATGAAATTGATGAAGGAGATACAGAACAATTTGGAGAAATGGGATAAATTACAATTATCATTACTGGGAAGAATTGCGACGATCAAAATGAGCATCTTGCAAAAAAAATTATTTTTATTTCAGTCAATCCCTATCATATTAAAACAGTTATTTTTTTAAAGAATTTAATAAGATAATTATGAGATTTATATGGCAAGGTAAAAAACCAAGAATTAAAATTAAGGCAATGCAAGATGCTACGCAGAGGGGTGGCTTTGGTCTTCCAGACTGGGTTCTGTATTATAGATCTTGTATTTTAGCTTGGATAAAAGAATGGATAACTTTAGAAAACGATAGATTACTCAACTTGGAAGGACATGATTTGCAATTAGGTTGGCATGCTTATCTATGGTATAAAAAGGACAAAGAGCAAAATAATTTTAATTTACATATGATAAGAAGAGCTTTATTGGGAACGTGGAAA